CTGAAGTTTAGGGGCTTTAGGGGTTTAGGTTTGGGGTTTAGGTTTAGGGTTTAGGGGTTTGGGGGGGTTGGGGGTTTAAGTTTAGGGTTTAGGGCTTCGGGGTCTGATGCTTATGGGGTTTAGGGTTTGCGGGTGTGTTGTATCTTGTGCTGAAGATGGGGCTGCTCAAGTCTGCGACGAAAGAGATGAAGCGGAAGCCATCCCCATCCGAATCGATTGGCGCTTAGCGTTTTAGGGTTTATGGGTTTATGGGTTTAGGGTTTAGGGTTTAGGGTTTAGGTTCTACAAAGCCCAAACCCGAAACCCTGAATTTCAAGGTTGGGGGCTCTCCCCCTCCCACCTCGCCCGGTGCGCAGTTGCCTCAGATCTCAGGGTTTAGGGTTTAAGAAACTCCTAGTTTAGGGTTTAGGGTTTAGGGTTTAGGGTTTAGGGTTTAGGGTTTAGGGTGATAGTGTGTAGGGCCGTCGGTGACTTTCGGGGCGAGAACGCCTAGAGTCCCCGACGCTTTGAGAGAGTTTAGGGTTTAGGTTAAAATTCCGATTACCTCGGACTGTCGTGATCAGCTGTCCGCTATATTGCTGGGATTACGCAGATTACTCCCCTGAAACCGTAAACCTTTTGAACGCAAACACCTCACCCCTAAACCCTAAGCCCTAAATTTACTAAACCCGGTACCCTAAACCACTACTTCGCGGGCAAGGTACCAGGAAACCCGACCTCCTTCTCGAGGCCATCGCAGCGGGGCCACGCATTGCGATCGTCCAAAGCATCCTGCCAAACACTTCAGGTTTAAACCTTAAACTTTTTCCAATGTCAAAGCTTAGGGCCCCAAAAATTACAAGAAGTTTTGGGCACTGCTTGCTTTAGCTATAACTTAGAATAAGGAGCCCTGAACAAAGTACTTCTAATTCTTCCTCTGACCTTATATTACTTTAGCTAGAAGTTAGAATATGGAACCCTGAAGACAGTGCTTCTAATGATTGCTCTGACCTTATACTGAACCCTACAACTTCCAGGGTTCTAAACCCTAAACCCTAAACCCTCAAAACCCAGCCCGGCACTCGCCTGCAGCGTGGAGTACAGGTCGAAGTCAGTGTGGAGTCCTCTCCGAGTGAAGCCACCCCAACAAAGCAGAGAGCACGGAATGTTCAGGGTTTAGGGTTTAGGGTTTCGGCTTTAGGGTTTAGGGTTCTGGGCTTCAATATAGAATCATACTATTCCTTAAGTTCGCTGTTATAGCTACAACAATTATTGTAATATCCTATGTCGGGGCCCACTTGACGGATCAGGATAATGGCGGGGTGTAAGTACCGAACGAAGGTGATTGTAAGCTTTTCGCCATGGCCTCGAAAGTGTAAACTTCTCGTGTTTGTGGTTTAGGGTTTAGGGTTTAGGGTTTAGGGTTTAGGGTTTAGGGTTTAGGGTTTAGGGTTTAGGGTTTAGGGTTTAGGGTTTAGGGTTGTCAAGCCGAAAACCTAGACTTAAGGGATAATAGGAGGGACCCGTAGAAGGGACCCCGAATCCAAATACCCTATATAACCCTTACATACCCCGTATATAGTCTCATAAAGCCCCTAGAAAACCCCCAAGGGTCCCCTGAAGGGTCCCTCCTTTAGTCCCTTGATAGACCTTAAACCCCAAACCTTAGAACAAAGCCAGCTCATTGAACATACCCCCCAAAACCCGATCCCATTACCAGTTGCAGCCCAAGCTTCAAACCCCCAAACCCTAAACCC